TCTGCACTGCATACTCTCAGTTAATACATTTGTTAACAAATACTGTGGTTTAAATACTGTCTGTGTTGTGTGAAATTCTCATAATCATGCAGTTGTTTTGACAATTTTGACTAGGGAAATGTATAAATATTCACACTATTCGCATTAGTGATTAGTAGGACTTTGCTCTTTTTTTGTTCTTTTCCTACACTACACATAACTTCAATTGGTATTTAATACTGAGTATGGATGGTTAAAAATTGTATCTTTAAATACAGGCAACATGCAAAAATACTTTTGATTTTACAATAGAAGTAATGCAGCAAACAATGGCAGTTTTTATTTAATTTGAACACACATAAGAGTTTAATTTGAAAAAAATGGAAATGAATATATGCCCCCCCCCCCCCCCAAATCTGGCAACATTGAAATATGTGGGCGCCAAATTAAAAGCATATTGACACACACTCTCCTAGACATACACTCACATTGACTCTCAAAAACAGAGCTGTGTATGTGTGCGTTTAGGTGTTTACCTGTCAGTGTTTGGTGTAACGCCAGTCACTTCACAGGAAGAGTGGTCCTCGGTAGTCAACCAGCTGCCCAGTCCCTCCATTTCCATTACCGCTGCCCCTGAACAGCGATCCAGGGTGAAGCGTACTTCCTGAAGAGAAAACACAAACAAGTACAGCTGTAAAGAACCAATTTTGTCAGAAAAATCAAATGCAATAATAAAGCCTCCTATTTCTCTTCATAATAATATGTGCACCTCCTGTTGCTGTCAAGTGCTCTTTTAGCATTATTGCTATAGTGGGAGCTGCTTCTGACTCACATTTCTTTCATTAGTGAATATTACTCGGCTGCTACCTGCTGTTTCCTGTTAAATCACAAACGAAAAACAAGACTTCATGTCTTAAACTACCATGTTCCAAGAAATGTGTACTGTGTTAAAATACATCACCTATGAATTCACGTTTTTCCACATCTGGGATGAAAGCTTCCATATATGTTAGACTATAACAGATATGGGACCAAGTGATTGTTTTGCAAGTCACAAGTTAGT